GTGGGTTGTGGGGATTTGGCTCGTAAACGTCACGTGAAAATGAAGAGTGGAGTCCGGTTAAAGTACAGCCAGGAATGGGAGGGTGAGTCTCCTCCCACACATGTTGTGTTCCCATGGGTCCTTTAAGACAAAGCCTCGAGAGCCAGAGTTCCCAAGTGAAGTGGCCGTCTCGGCAGCTTTAATCCTGTTAAGCATTTGCGCCCCTTTTGGGGCCAGTTCCCACCATAGCTGTCTAGGGAACCACACTGGGTCATGGGCCGATGAACCTTCGGTTTAGAAAAATGGTCAAAAGTGTGGATTCCAAGTCCGGATGACCAGAGTTCAAATCCCAGCATTGCTACTTACTCGCTGTGTGACCTCAGGCAAGCTACTTAACCTCTCTGTGTCTCATTTTCTCATCTTTGAAATGGGGCGCTCCTACCTCCTAAAAGTCTCCCAAGGGCTAAGCGAGCTAGCAGAGCTAAGGAGCCTGGCACATAATGAGAGTGTTGCAATGGTGACGTTGCTTATAGTCATTGTTGCTATTGCCAGTAGCGTCTAAAACCTTACCGTGCTGCCCCCCCAAAAGGCTTCTGAAGCCCCATCCTCTTTGGCAGGCCTTTGAGTATGTAGCCCTGGCAGAGGGTGGAAAAGCGGGTGGCTTTAGGGGCGCCTGGGTGGCTCAGTCGTTAAGCGTCTGCCTTCGGCTCAGGTCATGGTCCCGGGGTCCTGGGATCGAGCCCCGCATCAGGCTCCGTGCTCCGCGGGAAGCCTGCTTCTCCCTCTCCCACTCCCCCTGCTTGTGTTCCCTCTCTCGCTGTGTCTCTGTCAGATAAATAAATAAAACCTTTAAAAAAAAAAAAGTGGGTGGCTTCAGAGCAGTGTCCTTCCAGTCACTGTGGCCGCTGACCTGCTAGGAGATGAGAAGCTGCCCCCTGGTCCCTTTCATTCCTGGTCCTGTGCCCAGGCTGAGAGAAAGCTCATTCATATCTTACTTTTACAAGACAGGCAGCCATTTGAAACATCCTGACATCTCCCCCAAGCAATTGGCTCATGTGAGTATAATCATAATGATCATAATGACAAATAGCAGGAAAGCTGAATGACAGTGGCCCTGTTGGGGGGTCTGTCTTTGAAGCTAAAGTTCAACCTCCCATGTGCTGCAGGGAGATCCGCCAACTGGAGCCCTTCTTGCCAAGTTTGCTTCTCTTTTGTGAGGTTCTCTGCTGTGGGAGACCGAATTGCCATTGCAACCCCCCGGGCTTGGCTGCAAGCCTCTGTTGGCCCACGAGTCCCAGAGACACCTGCTTCTGTCCCCAGTGGGGACAGAAACAAGAGAGCCTCACCATCCATTCTGTGGCCTCTGAGCCTGGTCCTCGGCCCAAAGCTGGCTCCCTGGGCCAACAGGAACCAGAGTGAGTTGTAGGAGCCCGTGAAAAGGGTGTAGACCAGCCCCGTCCAGTAGAAAGAAAATGCAGGCCAGACTGCATTTAGCAGTTTTTTTGTGTATGTGTGGGGTTTTTTCCCCAAAGATTGATTGATTTAGGGAATCTCTACACCCAATGTGGGGCTCGAACTCACGACCTCAAGATCAAGAGTCATGTGCTCTACTGAGCAATCACATTTTTAAGTTAAAAAAAAAAAACAGGTAAAATTAAGTTTAATATATTTTATTTAACCCAATATATCCAAAATATGAATGAGATATTTTGCGGTTGGGGTACTAAGTCTTCAGAATCTGATGTGTATTTCCCACCTAAAGCACATCTCAGTTTGTACTAGCCACTTTTCAAATGCTCAGTAGCCACATGTGGCTGGTGGCTACTGTACTACCCAGGGCAGGTCTAGACAGCTCACAAGGGACAGCGTAACCAACATCCTAAATCATGCGTATCTAAATGTTTATCTTCAAATGGGGCTCTCTAACAGTTCCCCTTTTGCAGTGAGATTTTTGGATCATTGGAGGTATTTAATTTTTTTAAATTTTTTTATTGTTATGTTAATCACCATACATTACATCATTAGTTCTTGATATAGTGTTCCATGATTCATTGTTTGTGCATAACACCCAGTGCTCCACGCAGAACGTGCCCTCCTTAATACCCATCACCAGGCTAACCCATCCCCCTACCCCCCTCCCCTCTAGAACCCTCAGTTTGTTTTTCAGAGTCCATCGTCTCTCATGGTTCCTCTCCCCCTCCGACTTACTCCCCTTCATTCTTCCCCTCATTGGAGGTATTTATTAACAGCAGCCCATCATTGAGGGGAGAGCAATGCTTCATTCTAAAAATGAATTTGCAATGGTAAGGTTGCACCCCTAGACCTTGTAACTTAGATTTTCGGACCTTCCCATTTCATGGAGTGCATAAGCCAGGGGTGACACATTGTGAGCTTCTCCAAGAAGAAATGCCCCAGCTGAATTTCAAATCCCATCCTGTTATTACCATTGAAAGCACAGCAGTGTTCAGCATGACTTTGTCATCTCGGCCCAGTAGCTGAGCTGGTGGGCTCGGGGGATTGCCAGATGCTAGTAACAAGAAAAAGGAGCCTTTGGTACTTGGCATCCTGCTTTGGTAAGCCTTGGAGGAAGGAGAGCGTGTTATCAGCAGGAGTCATGAGAGTTTGATGCTGTGCAAATAGAAAATAAAAGTCAAGTTGGACCAAAGTTGATAAAAGAGTCAAGAAAAAAAAAAAATCTTCAGGTGGCCACGGCTTTTAGGATTTGTGAATCATTCTGACCAGAGACAGGATTTCCCTACCCTTGACCTCTGATGGCTTTCCAGACTCAGGTGGTGTTTCATACCGCCCAAGTAGAGGAGTCTGATGGGTAAGATTGCTCAGATACTTGCAGAATATAGGATACACACTACAGCGTGACCTCCCTTGTTCAGCGCCCTCAGTTCCCCAGCCTGATAATTCCCACGCAACACGGTGCCCCAGCTCTGCCCGTGTTAAAAACGGAGTAACTAAAACACTGATTAATGGAAATAGATTGCCGGGACTGGTTTTAATATAGTTACAAGAAAAAATTTTATTCAAGTGCTTTTGAAATACAGCTACAACAACTGAAATGGTGGTTTTAAACCTCTTTAATCCTCAAAGCCCTTCAATTAATATTTTATTAATTTCAGTATGAGTGATTACATGTATTTGACAGCCGTAAACTGTGTTTTTAAAACAGAAATGTCAATATCCAGAGCACCACTTATGAGCTGATTGGCTCTGGACGGGTCTCTGAAACTTCTTGCTACGTCAGCTTTCCCACCTATAAAATGGGAAGAATAATTAGTTCTGCCGCAGTGGATTCTGCAGAATGTGCTCAGCACATCGGATATATAGTCGGCACATAGCAAGTGTATTTTCTTACTCTCGCAAAGAGAATTTCTGTTGTTATTCTACTTGGTTAAAACAAGCTTTGATCCAGTCATTTCCTGTCTTGGAACCAGAATGCCAAGCCTCATTTTACATCATCAGGTAACACATAGAGGCTCATTTTGATAGGGTTTTTTGTTCTGTGTATGTGTGCATTTTCCAAGTTTTCAAAAAAGAACAAATGTAGTTTTAAAAAGAAAGGAAGGCTTCCTTGTAGCTTCCTTTGGTTATCATTTCCTTGTCAAGAAAATGAGCTATAAAGCTGCCAGATCCAAATGTGTGCCCTCTTGTTGCCGCCCACACCGAGGCAAGCCGCAGGGAGCTTGTATTTCTCATGCTACAAGGAGAAATATTAGTAATACATTAAAGAAATGGAGAGGAAGAGACACGCAGGTTTGTTTGTGTCCCAGGACATTCCATTAGACATCATGGGCCATTAAAAAATACCCTAGAACATTTCAAAGTCACATGTGTATATGCAAAATGGCAGAATGGTCATGCTGAGCACCTGTTTGGATGTCTTCGCCTCGGATCCTGGGGCATGATCTGTGGGTCGGGGGATCCTGTGCTTTAGACAACACCAGTGTTTTAATAACCTGTGCCGCGCTTAGAAATTCCAATCAGTATTACCCTCTTCCACGAGGGCAGGTCGTAGAATTATTCTAGTACTTCTGGGAGCCACGAAGATAGAGGGAGCAGTCGGGGTCTCCGTGGGCCGTCACCCAGCTTCACCAGCTCCCTGCATTTTACCAACTGTTCCAACCCCTTCCTAGTTTGCTCAAGTATTTAAAACAAATCTAAGATGTCACGTCACTTCACCTGTAAATTCTTCATCTCTCATGGATTTCACTCATTAATACACTCATCATACACTTTTAAACGAATCACCATACCATTTTCCCACCTCACAAAATTAAGGGTAATCTCTTACCAAGACCACATTTTAGTTGTTCCTGATTTCTGTTTTAGAGTTGGTTTGGTTTGAGTCAAGATTCATGGGGCGCCTGGGTGGCTCAGTCGGTTAAGCGTCTGCCTTCGGCTCAGGTCATAATACCAGGGTTCTGGGATCGAGCCCCACATCGGGCTCCCTGCTCCGCGGGAAGCCTGCTTCTCCCTCTCCCACTCCCCCTAGCTTGTGTTCCCTCTCTTGCTCTCTCTCTCTCTCTCTGTCAAATAAATAAATAAAATCTATAAAAAAAAAAAAAAAGGTTCAGACAAGGCTCAAATACGACATTTGATAAAATTATGTCTCTTTCAAACTGTTCTGAAACTTCAGCAGATACATTATCTCCACCATCATCTTTGTTGCTTTCAGCAAAATTCTGTTACATAGTTTGATTATCTTGTTTATCAGACCCGTGGTCTGAAGGACTCTGGCTTTTTCCAAAAATGAAATCCACCTCAATGTCCAAATATTTTTCACCATCGAGGATAATTAAATCTGCCCTGTGGCATCTCCAGGTGAATTCAGAGGAGCAGACCCCAAGCAGGTTTTGGGCAGCGAGTCATGGGGAGGTGTTTCCCCATATGTGGGATTTGCGGGGCCCTCTCCCCTCAGCGCAGAAAAGCCTACATGCTTGACTCGTCTGTTCTAACGTGGGCTGTTTGATTCCCCACTAAATGTAATTGATGTATGTGTTTTCACACAGATAATCGCGTATCAGCCGTATGGAAAATCCGTGGACTGGTGGGCCTATGGCGTCCTATTATATGAAATGCTAGCCGGGCAGGTAATGTACGTTTTTGTACTTATTTATTGCTGGATAAAGTGAATACCACAGCTCTGTTCGGGCCAGGATAGTGGGACCCAGCAGCTGATGCTGGTCCGACTTCCCTGACCCCGGTGAAAGAGGGAGAAATCCCCCCTGCCGCCTTGAAAGTGGATTATATTCAACAGGCACAGCAATTATCTCTGGTTATAAAAGCCCCAAACTGAGAGGTGACACCTGGAGCATCACCGACGTAGCTTTCATATTAAACACGAAAGTTCCTGCACGTTGAGGACAACAGTGGCCTCTGTAGGTTTTCAGTGTCTCAGAACTGTGGTTGGGTTATGGTTCCTTGCAAGTTTGTCTGCACAGATTACCCAGCTGCTGCCCGGGTGTAGAATCGGTATTATTAGCAAAGGAAGAAGACGGTGAAACTTGAAGAAATGCTTTAATAGCTTCTCCCCATCTCTCCTCATCTCACCCTTGGCAGTTCATTGCAGTTTTCACAAAAGTCCAACAAGGCTGAACCTCCAGTTACAAAAAGACAGATTAGGTTTCTCTGAGGAAAGCAACATACATCAGATAAGCAGGGGAATGATGCCAAAGCTTGCACTTTTTTAATACATGGCCTTAATGTCCGTAGCGTTGGGGCAAATCACACTTGCTGCTTTAACAAGCAAGCCCAAAAAACCTCAGTGGTTTAACACAGCACACGAGTTTATTTTCCATTCTTGGCACAGCCCTGTGGGGGGCGGGGGCGGTGGGGGGTACTGATCCACAGGGTCATTCAAGGGCAGTCTTCTTTCGTCCATTGTCCCTACAATCTTTTAGAGCCTCAGATTCCTTTAGCAAACCCTCCTTACTCAACTGGCCGATGAAGAGAGAGCAGAAGCAAGGTTGCACAGAATGTTTTAGGGGCCAGGCCTAGAGGTGGCATACATCACCCCTTCCTACAGCCCACTGGCCACATGGCCCCACTAGGACGTGAAGGACCAGGGGTGGGAGGAAATACAGTGTACCTGTGAGCTCAGGAAGGGGAAGCAGGTTGGGTGAACGTCTACCAGATCTCTGCCATTTTACCTAAAAACAGCTCTGTTGTGGGCAGCTTTTTAAAATTCCCAGCAGTTGAGTGCTGGTGTCAAGGAGTTGAATCCTCCATAGCCAAAAGCTTTAGTAAGAGAAAATGGAAAGAAATACCCACGTTGAGCAGCTGAGCTACCCCCTAAGGAAATCTTTGAATCTTTGTCCCTGGGGGGGAAAGTCACTCTTTCTGACATATGACATTCATCGACTCCTCCATTTATTCATTCAACATATACTTGTTTAAGGCTTACTCTCTGCATGGTGATCGCCGTAAACAAAACAGACAAAAACCCTCACCTTCATGAGGCCTATAAGCTAGAGAGAGAGAGAGAGTAGATGAATTAAATAAGGAAAATACAGACTAGTGATAAGCTAAGAGAAAAAGTAATAAAGCAGGAAAGAAAATACAGTGCTGGAGGAGGGTTGAAATTGGAGCGAGGATGGCCAGGGAGGGTCTCATGTAGAGCTGAAGTGAAGATCAGCAAAAAGTTAGAGACTGCCAGGTGCTTATGTGGCGTGAAAGCATTCTGGGCAGTGGAAACAGCAAGTGCAAAGGCCCTGGGGTGGAAGTGTACAGCCATGTTTAAGAAAGGGATGGGAAGCCACCAGTCTGGCCAGAGCAGAATGGGTTAGAGATCAGAGAGGAAAGGGGAGCCCCAGGTCTTGCGAGCGTGGAAGTCATCACAGACCCTTGGCTTTCCCTCTGGAGTGGGAGGCTACTGGGGAGCTCTCCTTTATGTTTTTCATTGTCTTACATCTTTTAGATACTAAAGTAGTCTCTTAGAGATTAAAAGATACAGGGTCCTAGCCTACATTCGGTCACTAACTGAGAAGTGTGGGTAGGCCTTGATTGATAGTAAAATGGTTTGTGATTATTAATTTAGGTTTTTAACCCCAGTAAAATGTTCATCTCAGGCCAAATATGCCAGCTTGTAAGCACGGAAAAGCAGGTCATCAGGAACCAATGTCAGTGAGACAATAGTGAGTTGCCTGCCCCTTGAGTTAATTTCCCCTCTTTAGAATTTTAACAATAAAATCTGACTAAATTATTGGCCCCCGGGAGCCATGCTATTCACGAAGGCACAGAAAGCTGAGTTCCCCTTCTTGATCCCACTTGCATGTTCTGACTCTTGAGTCCAGAAACAAACCCTGTTTATACTGAGTCACATTTGCATATGCCAGCCAAAGAAATTGGTTGTGTAGAAAATAGGATCTGTTTCCAAGGGCACTTTACAAGAGATGAGCTGAGCTGATTCTTCACTGGCGAGCGGGAGACTAGGACTTCAGAAGTCCCGTGCCCCTCCGCCCCCCCGCAACACACTGCGCTCCTGCCCCCCATCATCCTTCCTCCCTAAGCCCGTGGACTTCATTCCCTAGAGGAGAGCTCAGGAAATGCTGCCCTCCTGCAGGGAAGTCCCCTTTGGGTGCATTTTAAAAATCCTGCCTCACTTGCCCATTGTCCCTGAGACCCCCACCTGCAGATGCCCTCCCCACGCCCAGCGCTTCCATAAGCGTTCTGGCACATTTCCATTTCCCATCTTGCTTCTCGGACTCCATTAGCCTGCCCCATAGGATCCCTTCCAGTTTTCATGATCTCTGTTGAAAATTTGATCTCTTTAAATGTGACGTCTTAAAGGCGTCCCACATTAGGGCACCGTGGCAGGCTCAGCCATTGTTCCTCTAAATCCTCAACTGTGCCTGCCTCCAACACAGCGTTTTCATTTTGGGACCCATGTCTTCCTCTTCCCTGTGACTCAATGCAAATTTCAATGTATTTCTGGGCGATGAGTCAGCCCAGAAAGGATAATAAAGGCTCTGAGCCCAGTACCCGGAGCCCCCCGAAAGCTGCAACAGCCTCCAGACCCAGCGGAGGGAATAGATGCTCTTACTGAAAAGTAAGATTAATTATAAAGCTGTTGATAGGGTTATGGTCTAAATTTGTCCTCTTTAATTGTTGGGTATATTTACTGTCAGCAGTCAAGGGGGCAGTTAAGTATAAACAGCCCGAGTCTTTCTTCAGTTCCTGGACTGCTTGACAAATATGATTACTTTGGGGCATAAACAGTATTTACCCAGCACTGTAATGAGCATATTGCGGCTCCAAGTGTTCACGGGTCTTCATCATAAAGAGACCAGTCCTCCCTTCTTTATGTCACCTTCTGCCAGGGTTATCTATGCTTTGTCTTCATTCCTGATGCATCGGCAATGGGTACTTTCTCCCAGCACTTTCGCCCGAACTGTCTTTGGGTGTCCTCCCCACACCCCCACACCCCACTGCTGATCACCCATGATCTGCAGACACACATGGCAGGGCCCCCACATCCATGAACCGGTCAGTGACTTCGGAATCATTTCAGAAAGAGTGAACCATCACCCCTCATTTGTCTGTCTAAAATTCACAAATTGCATATTGCTAAGGAGAACACCCTGGGTTCGGAACATTTTTACACCCAGCCTAGACTGTATGTGACTTGTAGCTTAGCTGGAGACACTAAGCCCAGATTTGTAGAAATTTAAAAATAATCATGGGAATGTGGGAAAGAAAGGAGAGAAGCAAATCCAAAATGGTCATGCACTTACTCCTCAGCAACACATCGCCTCTATTGTCCCCAGGCTCAGTAGCTGACTGGGAAAGAAAATTAATATAATTATAATTTCACCCTTGACCTGCCTTCAGCACCAAGGCCTGAGCAGCAATTACCTGTAAAAATGCTCCTGGGGTGACCTGGAGAAACTTAACGAGAGCCATAAAAATGCTCACATCCCTTCGGCTGCATAAGCCCACACCTGTGAAATTTTTCTTAGGAAGTAATCGGAGAAGAGAAAAATGACTCGCCCAGAGATGTTTATAGTAACCTTAGTTATCAGAGCACAGCCCCGGACAAATGAGCCCATCTCGGGTGGATGAGGGGTCAGCTCCGCAGCATCCATCTGCCTGGAAATACCAGTAGCCACGTAGAAAGTGTTCGCAACAGTCAGTGAAAAACAAGAAACTCCAAATTATGCATCCTTATTTGAAAATAATACGACAAGCCTAAGAGTTCACAGAAAAATAAGAGCAGTGTTTGTGGTGAGGTGAAGGGAATGTGGATGCGACTTTCCCTGCAAGATCATATGATTTTAATTTCACAGAGGGCTCTGAGGGGCTTTCCCGAATCTGATGATCATTATTGCTGCTCACCAGGTCTTTGGGGGCTTCCTCCCTTCTGGCATGTGGTGGGATTGTACCTCCCAGCTTGCTCATGATTGGGTAGAGCCTGTGACTCATTCTGACCAGTGAGATCTCAGTGGACGTGCTCCTGGAGCAGGACACCCCAGAGCGCCTCTTCCCGTTCCCCCTCAGCAAGACCAAGATGGCGGCTGCGCCATCAGAATGGGTCCTTGGTGACCTCTGCTGACTGATGGTGGATGTGTGGCATAAGCAAGAGATAAGCAGTCAGAATCAGGGCTGGGAAGTCATGCCAGGTCTCTAGTCTAGAGACAGTCCCTCTACACAATGACTTGAAACATCTCTGGTCTTTCCAGAACCCCACTACTCATTGTGCCGGATACCAAAATGGCCTCCCCACATATCCCCTCCCCACCACTGCCCCAGTCGAGCCATCTTTAGGTGTGGGTGGACTTCCCACTCAGCCCTCCCAGCAGCAGCGCCGGGGGACCATCCTTCCCCAGCCACCTGCCGGAGCAAGTGTGAGAGATTGGCAGGGCTCAGAATGGCCCAGAGCCCAAGCTCTGCGGTCAGATGTCTGGGCTTGAATCTTGGTTCTTGCACATTCCAGCTCTGTAACCCTGGCCAAAGCACTTAATAATAGAACCTCAGTGAGCTCAACTGTGAAGTGAGATCCCCAGTGTGTGCGGTGGTCATACGGCGGTTTTGAGGATTGAGTGAGTGATGCTGGGAAAAGCACTCTACCTGGCACGTAGATAGAGCCTGAAAAGCATGCGTTACTGCAGCTGCAGCCGTCCTCACTGCTGTTCATTCTCAAACACTGGCCACCCTTCATCAGGCAGTGTAGACTCCAGTGGGTGATAACAGAACGTCAGGGGTAGAGGCATGTGTCCTCCCTGGGATTGCCAGGAGATACCCCCATTCCTCGGGGCCACACAGGGATGGAACACGGGGTGGAAGCCCAGGGCGCTGCCACAAGGACACATAGTCCTGTGGCTTTTGTCATAGCTTAGGAATCTTACCGCAACAGGTGAACCCAAGGGGCCTCAGAGAATCCTTCCATCCCCAGCCTGTATGATTCCCACGGGATTAAATAGCTCTCTTTACGGCAGGACTTCTTAGAACCTAAATGTAAATGTTACTGCAGATCCCAGAAAGGGGGGAAAGGGTGCAAACTTTGACCCAGGAGTATCCTGTAGGATTAATATCCTCTAGTTCTGAAGAATGCTCTCTGGGGTGCGTCGGGAGCCAGGTGTCCTGCTCTCAGAGGGGACTTCATGGTCAACTGCTTCCTGGATCAGTAGTAGGCACAGCTCACCTGGGCCAAGGTGGTTCCCACGCCAGGAGACAAACAGGTGTGATAGGCCAGTGCCCTACACAGAATCCCCCCCTCCAAATTCCTTCTTCCGCATCAGCGGGGGCGGGGGTAGGGGGTGGGGGTAAGCATCTGCACTGACCTAACCGTCTTCAAATGCAAAGGTTCTTGCTGCCTCACCTGACAAGGATTCCTGGGGACAATTTGTCTGAGTTTCTCTTTGGAGAAAATTGCCCTTAAGCCTTTGGCTGGGATGATCCGTGACTCAGCCCCTATAACATTCCTGCTGCTAGTGCTTGAGCATCACCAGAGAGGCCTGCTGACTCCCCCTGCTGCCTCTGTCTACCTACAGGGCCCAAGCTTTAGGAACCCTTCGCGTCTGTTTTGACGCTCTGCTGGTACGTAGTTTCTCCTGAGCAGCGACCCTAAGGGGCCACACTGAGAGGTGTCGATTGGTCATCCAGGAGCAGCACCCATACCCTGCTCGCATCCAGAGCACCATGACATTATAGAGTATGAACACAGAGGAAATTCAGAGTGTGGGGCCCCCTGGAGATGTGCAGTTCACAGCCCAGAGCAGAAACCCTGCCATGTTTGCTTTAGTTATAAAGATCTCCTTGGCCAGAACTCAGCCACATGTATGGATCACTTATTAGGGAAAAGGGGATGTTTTGTGGGTGTTATACCATAGGTGTCCAGAAGAAGTAGGTTGCATGATATCAGGCAGAGAAGGTATGGTGGGATGGACCGCAGTACTGGCCTCCGCTGTAGCTCTTGGCCAGTCTTGGGCCAGCCTGCTCTGTCTGTGCCCAGCTTACTTGTCCGTGGGCATCCCAGGTGCCACGTTATTCCTGCCCAGGGAAACTCACCATGGTGGGCTGTTCAGGCTGTGCTCGGAGTCATTCACAGGCAGGGTAATATTTTTTTTTTTAAGATTTATTTATTTTAGAGAAAGAGCATGTGCGGGAGGGGCAGAGGGAGAGGGAGAGGGAGACTCTCAAGCAGACTGCACTGAGCATGGAGTCCAATGTGGGGCTCGATCTCACAACACCAAGATCAGGACCTGAGCTGAAACCAAGAGTGCTTAACCGACTGTGTCCCCCAGGCGCCCCATAGGCGGGCTAATTTTAGTTCTCCTCACCCACCTGTGTGCTTTGACCAAATTAAACATTCTTTATACCACGTACTTAGGATCGAGAATGAGACCTATTTATTTTTATTTCTAGACCAAAAAGTAATAAAAATAAAACCCAACAACAACAGTGGCACCAGTCCCAACCCCCCATTCTCCCAGACCTGGTCCCAAGGTAGGGTTCTATATAGACTTAGCATCTTTCCCTTGAGCAGGTGTAGTTCCCATGGGCTGACCCCACACCCAGCTCCTATTCAGGGCTGGGGGTGGGGAGAGGACTAAGGTTGGGGGGTCAGATGAGCAGATTGGAAGGACCTGAGTGGTGCTTCGGGGGGAGCAGTCTGCTTGGGTCCATTACTGTCTCTTACTCGGAGGGAGATGTTTGATGAGAAGGGGTATCCTGCTGACCATGGCACAGCTGTCTTTGGTCCATGATATAGTTTACATTTAAGCTGGACTCTGCATTTTCGGAGCCCTAACCGCGTCATTCAGAGTGACAGAGACACCTCTTTTCCATGAGAAGGAAATGCACCAAGATGAAACGTCTGGGGATTCTCTCAGCTGTGATAGCTGACCCCGGTCTGCCTTTCTTATGCTGAACCCAAGGTTAGCTAAGCCTAAAGGGAACATTAAGAAATTTCCCATAAACCCACTTATCCTGTGCACCGTCCCTCCAGGGTGACAGGTAATTTGCCAGACCTCTCAGGATTAAAGACATGCTGGAGGAGAAGGCTTGAAGGGCGTCCTGAGCTCACCCGTTCCTCCCGAGGATTCTAGCAGCCCCTTCTAAGACCGTTCATCTGCCTTAATAAAATACCAGTACCACTAGGCACCCTTCAGCAGGCACCTGCTGGGTACAGGACAAACTATCAGGTGTTTTGCAGACTCCCCAGGGAACTCCATTTTACAAATTGGACAACTGTATCTTAAAGAGAGAGGTCGCTTGCCTGTGGACACCCAGCTAGGAGGTGGTGGAGCTAGAATTCTGGTCCAGATCCCCCGGACTTTTAACCATGACCGCCCACAGCGCTACCATGCCTCCCGCTCTCCCTGTGGGCAGTGTAAACCCAGCAGAAGAGGAGAGGGGAGGGTCCGGTGGAGGCTAAGCTCCCATCACTGGTACCACGCAGGTGCCAGGCTCTCTACAGAGCAGCTCCCTGTTGGGTCAAAAGGGCCCTGGTGTGGATTTCTGGACCTGGGGAAGTCCTTTTAGCCCATGTCCAGTGGCCCCAACGCCCCATGCTCAGAATCCAAAGGCACAAACATTCTCCACCTGCCCCCACCCCTGCACACAGAGCTATCTGTAACCTAACTTGATCATAATTAAATTTTTTAACACATAATTACAAAATTAATGGATTAATTATAATTTATTTGCAAAGCATTAAAAGCATTACTCAAAAACATTTTCCCTAAAGATTGTTTTGGGTTGCCCAGGGCAGGATAATTAAAAAGACAGAGGAAAAAATGAAAAACACGCAACCACCAACCTAATGAAAGATAATCAAATAAACCAGCAACTTCACTGAGCTAACTCTGCAGCCGGTGGTGCACCCAGAAGCCCGGTGTGTGTCTTGGTGTTGACATGGGTCTCCAGGCGCCACGCTAATGAATCACCCTGCCTGTTTTCCTGTGTCTCTGTTTTCCTGAACAGCCTCCCTTTGATGGCGAAGATGAAGATGAGCTGTTTCAGTCCATAATGGAGCATAACGTTTCTTATCCCAAATCCTTGTCCAAGGAGGCCGTTTCCATCTGCAAAGGAGTAAGTAGACCTGCGTTCCTTTTAGAATCACGGACCGAGAGGGTCAGCAGGGGAAATCTCTGGCCCACACTTCTGAGAGAGGTTGGCGGAGAACCTGCAAACCCATGCCACTGCTCCCAGCCATCAAGGGCTACAGCTCAGTGACGTGCAGGGCATCATGGGAAACACGGCGGCCCAGAGAAGGGCTTCTGATCCCCAAACTGCCTGGAACTCTGGCCTAGGCAGCTAATGGCACTGTGCTTTAGTTTCTCATCCCCCTCATGAAACTGTGCCATGAGTTACCAGAAATAACCGCGGGCCCTCGGAAAATATTCAGTCTCTTCCCTCGCCTGACTTGGTGGGCCTTGGGTCATTCTTCATTCAGTTCTTTTCTTTTGAGATAGAATGTGCAGGCGGAAATGGGCACAAGTTGTCAGTGCTGTAGATCAGTGAATTTTCACAAGACAAATGCACCCACGTCATGAAAGGGAAGGTTTCCGACACCCTAGACGCCCCCTCCCTTCCTGCCCCACAGCAACTCCCCACCCCTTAGGATAAGCAGCATCCCTGCTCGTACCTGCAGGGATTGGCCTGGTCTGTTTTGAACTTGGCACAAATGCAGTCTTGTGGCGGATGCTCCCCAGGCCTGGCTTCTTTCACCCAACGTGGTGATCGTGGCATTTCTCCATATCCGTGTGTGTGCGTGCGTGCACGCGTGCACATACGTGTGCACTTCCATCCTCCATCCACCCACGTAGCATTCCACCGTGTGATCACACCAGAGTTTGTTTATTCGTGCTACTGCTGGTGGGCCTTTGGGTTGTTTCCACTTTGGTTTGGGGCTGTTCCAAATAGAACTGCCCTGAAACTTCCAGGTTTTGTGTTTTGGGGAACATATGAGCTCGTTTCTATGGAGGAGATACCCAGGAATAGAAATTACCGGGTCCTGACCTGGTTAGTTTTTAATCGTGAGGCTTTAGGCCACAAAATTATCGTCAGACCTGGTGGGATGGAGTGTAAGACACTCCTAACATTTTCTGGCCAGTTTGTGTGGGACGTGCTTATCAGGTGTCTAAAAGGGCAGCGCACTGTTTACATACAGAAATAGGGAGAGCGAGGCCCTCCCGTGTTCGCCTCTGTCTCCCGCAGTAGACACATGGGAATTAACTAGTCACCTGCTGGTCACGACATTTATTTTTCCAACCCATGTGTCTTTTGATTAATACATTTTGGTCTGGGCAATAAATAGGCATATGATGCTTGTGATTAGCATCACAGGAGATACACACACAATTTTTAGTGATTGCCTACCTTTTCACATACATATTTTTTGTAGACCTACAGAGTGGCAGCTCTAACACAGTGTAGGAAGACTCCTGATTAAATTCTTATGTTTGGCTCTGGGGCCAGATTGCTTGCCTATGTCCTTTATCATAAAAATCACTACAGAAAGACCCATTCTGTTAGCACTGTATTTGTGAGCTGGGGTCACTCTGTGCAAGCCACTGATTTCTTGGGGTGCTCCCCGGGCATCCGTGCAGTCAGGGCTCCTAGCAGAGCTATGGCAGAGGTGAGGTACTACCGTCCAGCATTCTCTTTTTCTCCTACGTTTAGTGTGTGGGACGGGGGAGGGAGGGTCTTTTTTCCTCTTTATTGAGGTATAATTGACAAATGAAATTGCAGCGTGTTTAAAATGTGCCACATGATGGTTGGACGCGAATTACATTCTGGAAGAGTTCCACAGTCGAGTAAACACGTCTGGCACCTCACACAGTTACCTTTTTGTCTTTTGGGGGGAGAACACTGATGTTCTACTCTCTCAGCACATTTCAGTTATACAATACCGTGTCGTCACCTCTGGTCCCCACAACACACATTGCACGCTTTTTCTGCTGCTCTCTAGCTGATGACCAAACACCCAGGCAAGCGGCTGGGTTGCGGGCCGGAGGGGGAGAGAGACGTGCGGGAACATGCCTTCTTCCGAAGGATCGACTGGGAGAAGCTGGAGAACAGGGAGATCCAGCCGCCCTTCAAGCCCAAAGTGGTGAGTAGGGGATGTGGCCTGCTCCCGAGCCCCGTGTCCCTGAGTCCCAGAGGGGTCCCGCTCCCCCTTACTCTAGAGAGAGGAGGCCGGTGACTCCCGGCCTCTGCAGGATGGAAGGACACGGCCAGGTACCAGCCTCACCTTCAGTCTGTCGTCTGAGCCCCCGGGATTCCTGCGGACTTTCAGAGTCAGCACAGACCAAGCAGGGATGGGGGGGCCTGTGCCCACCAGCCAGGGGGCTGCAGAGTGCCCCCCAGGACTGAGAGAGCGCCAGGGCGCGTTGGCTGTGGGGATCGGGCTTTGTGGACTCACGTGCCCGGCAGGACTGTGATCCCTGCTCTGGGTCCTCGACGGGACGTCTCATCGGTGTCCCACTCTCCTGGGTTTGCTTTGCTCCTGAAGCCTAACTCGGCCTCAGCCGGCTCTTCTGCAGGCCCTGGCTGCGCTTCCCGCATTGGCCACGGCCCCTGCTGCCAGGAGTGCGGGTCGCCCCTCTCCCCATTCTGGCTTCACCCTCTTCGTTGAGACTCCTCCCATGTGACTCGCATTTTTTCCATTAATTTCACAAACACTCTGCGCCAGGCCCTGTTCTTTACAAATTGGCTCATTTAACCCTCTCAATGATCCTGCTCAGTGGGTAAACTAAGGCACAGAGAGGCTGAGTATCTTGCCTGAAGACACGCAGCTGGTAGGTGGTGTTCTGGCCCTGCGATCTGTGTCTTTACCTCCCAACACCATCGCTCCATCTCAGTGACTGCCGTCTGCCCGGCTTCTGACTGTTGGTGGCAACCAGAGTTGGCCTTTCTTAACACTTCTATCTCTAGAGGTAAACTCAGAGTCTTTAGAGGTAAACTCAGAGTCTTTAAGACATCGGGCTCCTCACTCACGCCACCTGCCTCTTCACGGTGCTTCCCGGGGAGTCCACTTTCCCCCGAATCCCATCTTTGGGGGCCAGTGGACCATGCCTTCCAGCTCGGCTGCCATCTCTGGGTGGTCTCTGTGCTGTCCCTGCCCCGAGGCCACAGCGAGAGCAGCTCTGGCCCACGGCCTGTTTGAGAAGCACCCACACCTGTCTCCCCCAGCAGGTGCTTATGAGCAGGCAAAGGGGACCCTCCCAGGGTGGCTGAGTGCCTGGCCGGTCGGCACAAGCTTTCTTCTTAGAGCAGTAACCTCCCATCAGATATGCTTGTGTGTCCTCTACTGCAAGAATAAAACTGCTGGTGGGGAGCCCACTTCTACTCTTCCAAGGTATTCTTAGCACCAACTGAAGAAAAACTAAAATGAATCAGGTTAGTTGACTCCCTCCTGAATCATCCTGTCCAGCAGGACCCTTGTATGTGTGCACCCCACCTTCTCTCAGCCGGTCCCCGACTCAGGGGGTTTTCACAGGATCCTTCCCCTCAGTGTACAAAGCCTGGTCTGGGGGCGGGGGGCGGGGGCGTGAAGGCAGTGATAATACTGCAGACAGTCTCAGAACATTCTCTTAGGGGTTTTCTTCTTCCCCGTTCCTATTTAGCTTTCTTAAAATATGAAAGGCACACAGTAGCCTCTTACAGCTCAGTTTCTGTAGGGGACCAGCAGGGATGACGCGCTGACCCTGCTTTAGGTGTGAAGCAAAATACAGGTACTTGTCAGTCACTTTCCAGAAAGGGACGAGATGGAACAAAGTCAACCGTAAGACACCTCTCCTTCTCTGTCTCCCCATCTCATCCTCTGAAGAGATTGTTTGCGCGGTCGCCCGCTTTCTGTGGACACCACGGCCCTAAATTCAGATGTAGGGAACAAGAGGGTGACCCGGGTGCAGGAGCCCAGAATCTGACTGTGTTGTTCCCGGTGGGCCGTGGAAATCACTGGAAGCCGAGTCCTAACCGCAGCAGGCAGTTGAGCGATGAGTGGCGGCGCGTGCGTGTTTATTTATTCCTGGAGTCCTGCCGTTTGTGTTTTTCACTGAACGCTAGCTAGAATAAAACAAAAGAAGAGAGGGCCTCTGCCTCACAGCAGCCGCTGAACTCCAACACAGAAGCCGGAACCGCAGAGCGCGGCCGGACCGCTGAAGCTTGCCTGCAAAGGCCCTGCTTGGCAAGAGCTGTGGTCAGAGGGAAAGGAGGGATGTCCCCTGCTCACAGGGAGCCTTCCCAGGCCAGAGCCCGTGTCCCGCTGGGAGAAGCTGGAAAACGTACCCACGGGTAGCAGAGAGGACAGCAGGGGACGCAACGCGGTGCCAGGGTCAGGGGCAAGCAGCGCAGGAGTGAGCGTCAGACTTTCTGTCCCAGGGGCGAAGAGCGTCAAGGGCAGAGAGCTCGACCGGAAAGTTCTGGGCCCCCGGGAGAGCTCGGTGTCCCCCAGTGCCTCCACCACGCCGCCTGCAGAGCAGCAGAGTTTGGCCCCTCATCCCGGCTGAAGGGGGCATCTCCACCGCCTCCGGGACATCAACCTGCCCCCGAGGTGCCACGCTGGAGCGGAGACACCCCACACCAGGGACAGTCTGGGCGGCGGGAGAGCACGTTTGCAACAGCACAAAGCGGTCTCGGGCCGGCTGTGACCGAGGCCGCACGCAATTCGCCGGTACCCGCGCAGCCACCGTTCCAGGGGTTCTGTGGTGTTTCCCTGCTTTCTTGGTGAACAGTGTGGCTCCCTGAGCCAGGGCTAATTAAAAAGCCAGAAGAGTGGACAGATGAAATCCAGAGCTGAGTATTGTCCCGTGGGCAGTTCTGTCGTTTCAAAGGGAGACAGAGCAATACGTCCTCGCCGTCACCTGCCGCCAGAGGCTTGGACCCGCATGGGCGCCGAACCCCTCCCGGGGAGCATCTCCCCTCTGAGCGGAGCCCAGAGCCCCAGCTGGCGAAACTGGTCTGCCCTGGTGAAGTTTGCTCGAGGCTTTTTCAGCAGGTGCCATGAGTCCATTTCCCTGAGATTTAGTGGATGAGAGGACCATTTCCTCCCGGCGCCCAGGAAATCAAGCCTTTGGTCCTTGCGAATGCCAGAAGGAAGCCTTCAGGCACCCCCAGCTATCTACAGGGTGCTTCTAGAGATCACGTTTGTGTGTGTTGTCGTTCTCGTCAGCTCTGGAGTCTCCTCTTGGCTTTATTTTTTTAATTTGCTTTTGGAGCTCCAATGAAAGGGGACTCCAAAATCACGAGCTTCCTTGAGAGAGTAGAGGTAAGTCCCAGAGCTTATCCAGAGGAACCAGGGTTGTTCCCATAGTGTCCTGTCTTTTCTTCTTCTTCTTCTTCTTCTTCTTCTTTTTTTTAATTTTCCTGCCTACCAAAGTGACATCACTGAAGCTAGACCAGAGGGCCACAGGAAATGTGAAATTCCACTGCCAAAGACATTTCATGATGCACAAATCCATCAGGAGGCTCCGCACAGAATTTTCCACCTCGCGTTGACGGTGAGATCAGGCCCTGCAGTGCAACCGCGGCCTGGATTCGGTTTGGAGTCACTCACAACGGAAAGTGGAGAGAGAGTGGCCAGTGTCAGGTGTGTGGGACTGTGGCCGTCTCCCCTGACGGTGACGAGTCTGGAGGCTCAGAGGTGCACATCCCAGACACAAGTGGCAGCCCCAAGAAGAGCCCACAGGAAGTGAGAACCTGCCCCCAGTCGGCCCGTGCTGGGGGAGTCCAGTCCTGGCAGAGCCGTGTCCCCAAAAGGCTGCCGTGTGCAATTGTGAAGGGGAAGATGGTTTTCTAGAAGATGGGGCAATCACTTATGTACTGGTTGATTATGTAAAACAAAAACAAAAACAGCTGTGTTATGGTCTCCTGGAGAGGAGCTCGCTCTCTCTCTCATGACTCTCTCTCTCCTTCTTTACGGAAAAACACACAGCAAGCTGGTTTCCTTTTTCTCTCAAAGAAAAAAACAACAGTGGAAGAGCCTCTGATCCACAGACCAAAGACCCTCAGCTCAGCATTTGGCTGACGTTCTGAACAACAAGCCTGAGTCCTCAAAGAGGCTTATTAATGTTCAGAAGATTCCATGTCATAAAGTACGTTTTTTTATTTTTAAGTTTAAGGAAGATGTCACTCCTGAAAAGGTTGATGTTCAGTTGCTGAGGGAGAAATGCAAGAGGCCGAGCTGCCTCCCGCAGCATCAGGTACATAGGAGGTTTCCGTGGGAAAAGATGGCACAGCCAAGCCCACTTGACCCTGCATCTTGAGAACCCAGGGAGGGAAGGAGAGGTCATTCTTTCTGCTTTGCCTGAAAAATCAAAGGCTGAGTATGCCCTTCGAGGCGCACATGAGCCTAAGACTCCGATCCAGTGTCGCTTTGAATTTTATAGGCTTTTACCCTGATTTATTATTCATGTGAATAAAATGCCTGAGAACAGCCTTCAAGTTCCCATTCATCCTGCCCATGATAAATAACAATTTATACAAATATCAGAAGTGGAAAGTTAATTGATTTTTTTCCTTTTTTTGAATTCTATCCATTGGCACCACAGAGCAGAATAACTAGTTCACAGGCAAGCCAAAAACCTTCACTTAAGTGGTTATTAGAGAGAGAGAGAGAGAGAGAGAGATTAATCTATAAAGTTAACACCGCGAAATATATTCCTGAGTTGATAGATGAGCAGAGCACTTTGGAAGTAAGCTTGTCTGTCACAGGGAGCCTTTCTGGGGAAATTGCTGTCCTTATTTTATCAAAAAGAGGCGGGGGGAAATAACTTTTATCAGGACATTGTCATCCTTGCAGCAAGAGCCAGAGAGAACAGGAACAGTGGGTACAAGTGTAGGTGCCACCCAACAGTGGGTACAAGTGTAGGTGCCACCCAACAGTGGGTACAAGTTCATTTTCCCAGTCACCCCGAAATCCTTTACAGGTGTCCCTCAGGGAGGCTGCAGGTTTGGTGCCAGGCGGCCACGACGAAGTGCATGCCACAGTAAAGCGAGGCAATGAATTTGGGGGTGTCCCGATGCATCTAAAAGTTATGTTTACACTATCCTGTAGTCTACTAAGTGTGCACTAGCATTGTATCTTAAAAAAAAAACAAAACAAGGCATTTACCTTCATTTAAAAATACTGTTGCTAAAAAATGCTAACCATCACCTGAGCTTTTAGCGAGTTCTATTGATCACAGATCACCCTAACAAATATAATAATGAAGATGTTTGAAATATTGTGAGAATTACCAAAATGTGGCTTAGAGACAGGAAGTGAGCAAATGCAGTTGGAAAAAATAGTGCCATTGGACTTGCTTGATCCCAGATTGCCACAGACTTCCGATTTATAAAAAACACAGGGTCTGCGGAGTGCAGTAAAGCAAGGTATTTCGCAGTGTCATTAGCTTGTCTAGAAAGTTTGTTGCTGGCGTAATTATCAAAGTCAGTGCAGTGTGCCTTTTTAATTTTTGAAAAAATTTAATTTTGAAATAACATCTAATTTCAGTGTTGCAGAAGAGTTGCAAAAATAGCATAAAGAATTGCTACATTCGCTTCACCCAGATTCCCTAAATGTTAACATTTTAGCACATTTGCTTTATCACTCTTTCTCTACATCGCTAAGTGTGCCTGTGTGCTGACACACACATAGGCGGGGTTTCGTTGTTGTTGTTTTACTTTTATTTTTTTGTTGTTGTTTTTGAACCACTTGAATATAAGTTGCAAAGGTGATGCCTCTTTACACCTACCTGTTCCGTGTGTCTTGCCTCAAACCAAGAACATCTTGTGGTACTGCTCTTTTTAAGAATCACTCTGAGAAGGTCATTCTACAGAGAGGCGGCCACCCAAGTAGAAGGAGGAGGGTCCTGGAGCGCTGGTCTGAGTGCTCAGTGCCATAGGCAGCCTTGGGCTGCACGTAATCGTCCTCTTGGGTAGCAGGTAGGTTCATTCTCTTGGCCTTTCAGTGGTGCCAGGAACTGTCAGGGAGAGATTCTCAAGACTCAGGGTGCTCCACCAACATGTGAACACTAACCAACCTTTGGAGACTAGAGTCTGCCACCTCATGGTGTACTCAGGTGTGACCTGTGCGTTTAAACCAGCCTAAGCCAGCTTCTACTTGGTTGATGAGAGGCAAGAAGTCTGCCTATTCTTTGACAACTACTCTCCCAAATCCTCTTCTTTTAAAAAAAAAAAAATTATTTATTTATTTGAGAGAGAGAGAGAGAGCACGAGCAAGGGGAGTGGGAGAGGGAGAAGCAGACTCCCCGCTGAGCAGGGAGCCCGATGTGGGACTCGGTCCCAGGACCCTGGGATCATGACCTGAGCCAAAGGCAGACGCTTCACCAACTGAGCCACCCAGGCGCCCCAAATGCTCTTCTGCTTGAAAGAGAAATGGGAAGATATGAGACATTTAAAATAATAATCAAGATAAATAAGTAGCTCTGTTGCAGGCCTCAGGGAGCTTCAGTGGTGAGGGACGGGGTACGTGCACAGCCCATGTGCCTCACGGCATGTGAACTGACAGGCTCCCGCTGTTTGAATTGAAGGTCTCCGACACCGATGGTCATTACACCAACTTGTTTTGGAAAAGGAGCCTTGAATCCTCCAAAGCTGGCCATCAGTATAAAGACAGACCAAATGGAGTGCATGTTTCTATTACATAGAATATGGCCCGGGATGAGCCAGGACCATTCCCTCCTAGACACGTGGCTCTGACACCTACAAGAATCCACTCAGTTAATGTGTGGCTTGTAGCCTGAGTCTATCAACAAACCCATCAGTAGAACCAGCTCGCTCTGGACCAGCACTGGCCCTTTCGGAGGTGTCCTCTAGTGCTCGTTTCAGCAACACATATACTAAATTAGAATGATCTGGAGAAGATTTAGCATGGCCCCTGCATGAGGATGACACGCAGATTCCCGAGATGTACTCCGAGGCAAGAGATCAGTGAACAGTGTTTAATTTTGTCTGAGAAACGAAAACCTGTCTTCAGTCTCTCACCACAGGTAGTGTTGGCAGGTGAAGGAGGTCCTAATCCCTTTTTAAAAAGTCATTATTAAAATACTAGCTCTGTGTGGCAAGATAGGTAAGCAAGTAAAGATGGACACAAAATGACAAGATGCTATCTCCCCCACCCCAACCACTGGTCCTGCTATTCTCTATCTCTTCTGTAAGCTTCTGGAAAGCTGTGAGCATGTGTGATCATACCCACAGTGAGGTTGTAGCATGTGTTCCATAGTTCACCTTGCACCTTTCACCCAGCAGTATATCTGGAAGATGTTTCCACGTGAGCCCATGTGGGTCTGTGGCATCCTTTACATGGGCCATTTTGATTCTAAAGTTCCCAGGACAGGCACTGACTCTTTTCCAAATACTCTCCTCTGTCCGTTCTTATTCTCCAGACTTTCTGTACCAAAATGCAATGGCTGCAGTGGGCATCCAGGCCTTCGGTGAGCACATTTCCAGATCCTTGAGTGACTAAGTGGGCAAACTAACCCCACTTTGTAACCCTAAGTGTGTGCTCCTGCTTGTGTTGGGTCGTGCACGGAACACCGTTCCCTAAGCATGCTGATCTTAGGGCTGCCGCCTGGGGCCTCAGGCCCCTCACTGGATGGTCCCATGGTGTGGACGTGACCCCCCAAGAGGCTCAAAGCAGAATATTCCCGTTCATTTCTGCTGCTGGTTATTGAACTAAATGAAGTCAGTGCACAACCGTGAGTCAGAAAGCCATGCATAGATGTCAGCAGGGTTCCTACTAACACTGCACTAGGACCACCACACAGTGGGACTGAAATACGGGGTCCCCTAAGATGAAGCAGGTCCTGCTACATCTGGCAATAGCCAGAGACTTTCCCAACCTCTGTAAGTTTCCTTTCTCCTTCATCTTGCAACACGCCTTTACTCTCACTTGGTTCCACGCTCTGCCTGCTCCTCTGGGTTTGGTTTGGTTTTGCTTTGTAATGGCAGTGTTTTCGAGCTACTCATACTCACCCTAATTCCCATACCAGTGACCATGGGGTTATATTCTACATGACTGAGACACCAAGGTAAAAGACAGGATTGAGACCAACACATGTATTGTGCATTCTCGGTGGCCTCTCCCAGGTAAGAATCGTGAGAAGCCGACTTGCGCGGGGCAGGCTGTCTCTCCCCACAGCCCTTAGACAGGGTGTACAGGGTGGTGAGTGGACCGTGTGCCGCCCAGGGCCCTGGATGGGGAGCGCTGTGATCCCAAAGCCCACCTGGAGTCTGCATCTTCCTATATTTTGTCCCATCTTTACCATGCCTGATTTCTCCTGGGTTCATCTCATTAATCGATGAGTTTACCAAATGGGTAGGAATGTCAGAACAACAAAGGACGTATGTACCGAATCCAGAGCTAAGTAAGGCAGGTAGATTATTAATAGTGTTCATTCATCCCTCACAGGTTAATCCCATGCCCTTTGCATGCTGGGTATGTGCTGTGCCTCAGGTCATATCATGCCTGATCATTTAGAAGGGATTGCACACATTCTCAGTCCTTTGATCCCCACCCACAGTAGCCTTGGAAGTTGGACGTTCACATCCCCATTTTATCTTTACAAAGAGGTGTGGTGAGTTTCCAAAAGCTGTACCCTGGACTTTTGACCTCTGATGGGTCCTTTTCCCCACCGTACCTCCCATTTTCCCTCGGGTGTCTGCTCTCAGGGAGTACCAGAGGAACTTTCTGGGCTTACACACTGGCCCAGCCAGGTTTGGGCTGCCCCCTGCTGCCCTCCTCTCTTCCATCTTTGTCCCACACCATGTGGTGCTTTGCATCCCAGATGGCAAAAGCCTCCCTTGGTGACAGGGGTGGGTGGCCTTTGGATGTGAAGAAAATGTATGCCCCACCAAGGGGTTTTGCTCTCACGTAGCAAATGCTGCCTGCAGCTGCAGGTGGTCCAGAGCTCTGAGGCCATGGCCAACCCAAGCCTGCCTGTTGTCCCACACTGCAGTGGAGACTGCCCTCCTGGTGGCCATGGTAATAACCTTCTTGAATCATCCCTGAGGAAGGTTGAGAGGATGTCTGGAGTCTGGCCAGCATCATTCTTCACCCCCCACCATCGCTCGCTCACTCACTCACTCACTCACTCACTCACAGGTACCACCCGGTGCCACCCTGAACCCTTCAGTCTCTGTGCCTCTCCTTGCTCCCTCTCACATCCAAGATGGTGCCCGAGTCCCGCTGCCCACAAGACGATTATTATGAGTAGGGTTGGCCCACAGACAGCAGGAAGAATCTTTTCTATGTTTAAAATATAACAGCTTGTTGAAAACATTATCTTGGCCCTTCACTTCAGTGAATCGGTTTTAAGAAAGGCTTTCCTTTGCTGGCATGTGATTTCTCTCTGCTTAGGATCGGGGAACATTCCAGAGCAAGTTAGAGTGAGAAGGAAAAGGAAGAGCTAGTGAGCAGTTCTGAGACCAGCAGTCCTCCCCCCGTACGGTGTGATCACCACGCAGGGCTTGGCCTGGCCTGGTCTCTGCGAGCCTGCTTAGCTCTGGGCCGGCAGCCCGCACAGCACAAGGCCTGAAGCAGCGAGGGTTTCTGCCCCATGTGTTACCACATTTAGCTTCACAAGCTGTGGCAACCCTTATGAGTGACCCTCCCTGGGACAGCAGTTTTAGAATTTCATGTCCTTGAGCATCCGTCCCCATCCCCAGGCTTCCCGGTGCTGATGTATATGTGGTCTCCTGTTTTAGATCTCGGGGCCTTTCCTAGTTTTTTGTTGATTTATTTGGCAGTTAAGCCATGGCTTTTGGAACTTCCCATTAGAAGATGATCTGTGAATGCCCTAAAGATGGTACCCAAAGAAAAGGTCAGACCTGTGCCAGAACAGATCAACAAATCTAGGGTTCGATGGCTGGAGACACGTTTTGCCTTGGCTCATCTTCCTCTTCCTTTTAGAGACTTCGCCTTTTACTTTTCTCAGAAGTTCCTTCTTGCTCATCTTTGCATGTTTAGTGAGTGGCAAAAGAAATGCAAATGGTCTCTTTCTAAGGGAGCACATGTCCCAGCCTCTGGGAGCACCTACGGTGCACTTGAAATCTTCTAGGCCCTGGGCATCGATTAACCAAGTTCCCAAAGGACATCCTCCTCAAATACAACTGCACCATCTCACATGTGGGAGGCAGGGCCCGCGTGATGAGCAGGCCCAATAGTATGGCCTCCATAGAGAGGCTGTCAGGGCGCCATACAATCCCCTGTTAGGAGTGGGTGGTCGCTCATGAAAATGAAGGCATCCCCAGAAAGGGAAGCTGTCAGTTATGAAAGACCTTACTTTTGAACTCACCACGTGCCTTAGGAGTAGGGTGGGGAAAGCCTAATGAAGCTAGATCCTCAAGGAAACCTTCTAGAAGATGGGAAAGATGTAAAAGAGGAAGTGGGAATACGGTCTGTGAGACTAAACCGGCCTTACAAAAATAACAGCAATCCTTGTGTTCTCACCGCATGCTGGGGTCTATGTGAAACACTGCACCCTTAACCCTCATGGCAGCCCAGGGAGGGGCCATGGGTCTTCTGCCCCCTTTACACTCAAGGGAGCGGGATGAAGCCCCCCACCCCCCCTTTACAGTGTACCTAGAGCTATCCTCTATTAAAGATCCAGGGATGCCTGGGTAGTATAAAACTGTGCTAACTCGGAATTGGTTCATGTCACCCTATGATACCAGCATGTAGAAGGGTGATCATTTGCAACATGTAGAATACCATGTGATTTGTATCACCCGTGCAACCCCAGCACTCCCTGTCTCAGAGTCATCTGGGGTCCTGGGGACTTCAACATGCCACAACCCTCCTGAGCGGCTGAGAAAGTGAGGACACCCCTTCCCCCGATTTGGGGCCAGGCTCCCAAGCAATGCTGTGCATGCTGCCCTGTTTCTCAGAGCCTCTTAACAGGGCAGCTCTGCCTGCATCCCTGTCTGTGTTGAGTGCCCCGGTGGACCCAGAGGAGAGGAATATCCAAGACAGATTGGAGACTGCTCTCCCTTGCTCAGGTCACCCAAGCAAAACCCCTCCAGCCTGAGACCACCTGCGAGGGAACTCCGTATCGACCTGCCAGTGACCAGGTCTAGATATGCTGAAGCCCAGCTGGGCCCCAGGGTGAATGTCCCAACCTTGCCACCACCCCTACTTCAAAATTGGTACCCAAAGTAAGATTAGGGACTGAGGTTTTTAGAACTTTCCAGTTGCAAGAATAACACAGCTTTTACTTTATTACAATTATGGTTGCAAAGAACCACATGTGGGACAGAAATCTCAACCTCTTGGTTCAGAGGTCGTTGTCTGCGTTCGCACCCAACATCCTGGCCTTTCGACATGGACCGTGACTGGTGGCCCCGTGAGTGTGGCATCATGCCCATAGCCTGCTTGCTTTGCGAAGTGGAAGTGAAATAGGCTGTGTCCTTGCTGCTGCCTTTACTATCAGCAGTGCCTCTCCACGGAGGGGTTTGGTTCCAAGGGTTTACAACCGAGTGACTTTGCGTTATTGTTTGCTGTGGCTGGCTTTGGAATCCAGTAGGTGTGCAGATTCTCCAGAATTCTTCCTGCCTCAGCCAGTCCCAATTCCCCCGGGCCACGCTCTTCCCTGCAGAGCCCTCTCAGAGAGCTGCCCCCTGTGCTTTGCAATAATTACTAACCTTTCCTTCTTTTTCTTTCTTCTCTGCAGTGTGGCAAAGGCGCAGAAAACTTTGACAAGTTCTTCACGCGAGGGCAGCCTGTCTTAACACCACCTGATCAGCTGGTCATTGCTAACATAGACCAGTCTGATTTCGAGGGGTTCTCGTATGTCAACCCCCAGTTTGTGCACCCCATCTTACAGAGCTCAGTATGAAACTCACCACTGAGAACCAACGCGTCCCCAGCCCCCAGCCCCCCAATAGTGGGAAGTGATCCTTAACCCTAAAATTTTAAGGCCATGGCCTTTTCTCTTGTTCCAGATTGGGGGGGCCTGAAAATTTTAGGGTTATTAGTCCAAATGTGAGTAACTGTTCAGGGTCTCTCTCTTACAACCAAGAACATTATCTTAGTGGAAAATGGTATAATGTACAGTGTCCAGTTTAATTATGTAGAAGTCATGTCTGGCTGTAGGTTAACCCTTCCTAGAAAGCAGACAAACTCTCCCCCTTTTTTGGTACGATTTGATATAGTTTCCTTGTCCTCTGTCAATTTCCACCATTGGGATCCCCCAACCAGAGATGTTAAAATGAACCTGACCCGGGGCCAGTGATTCTCCCCCTGAGACATCTTTGGAACAAAAGAATGGGGAGCCCGGTATGTGAGCCAGGTGGGGAGTGGGGGAGGCTTTGAAATACCCGCTACTTCTGTTCTCTGCCTCAGTGGAAACAGTCCCTAGAATTCAAGAGGCCGAGATGAATCATGTCCCCACAGTGAGTCATTTGCAAGCTCACTGTTACCAGACGTTGACAGTCTTAACCCAGTCACGGTCCAGTGATTACTGGTCTTCAAAAAGAGAGCGAACCTCAGAAGAACGTTGGGTGAACCTGTCAGCTCCCCTATTTGGTTGATAATTATCTTAATACTTGCATTTCTTTTTAAGAGGCCAAATCTTCTAAGGACTTTGATAAATGAGCATGTGAAATCATTTCAGATCAAGGATAAACCAGTGTGTATGTATGTTCATTTTAATCTCTGGGAGATTATTCTGTGATCCAGGGTGCCATCAGCAATCATGCCACTACTCACGAGTGTTGTTAGCCAACCCCCACCCTCCAACCAATATTTTGCTACCTACTTCCTCAGAAGCTGAAGCAAGCGTACACCCCATCCCCTTTTGTACTTATTTATTTACTAGGCTGCGGTGTTGTTCATGAGAGTACGGTGTACAGTAACTTAACAGAGTGTTAACTATAGCATAAGTCTCCATTGATCGATTTTCCTCCCATGTCCAGCCCTTGACATCCTCTAAGGGATGAAAACCAATACAGTTTGGGTCCCCATTTCCAGTTCATGTTGAATGACACACCTGAAGCTGTAGAATCAGGAAAACCTGGATGCACATCAGCGCAAAGATGTTTTATTGCTAGAAGGATTTTACTATGTTTTGCAAATGCATCATGCAATGAATTTTGCATGTTTATAATAAACCTTAATAACAAGTGAATCTATATTATTGATATGATCGTATCAAGTATAAAGAGAGTATTATAATAATTTTATAAGACACAATTGTGCTATATTTGTGAAGGCTCTTGTTTCTAATCTGCTTTTATGATTAAGCTTTTGCTTAATTCCTTGCTGCGTGCTTCCTCTCCCCCCACCCCCCGGGTACCCTGCACATTGGCACTGTATCGGATATATTAATTTTTTATCGTAGATCTAATTTTGAAATGAATGGCTATTTTACATGATCAGTTAGGCTTATACATATATATATAAATATATATATAAATATTTGATTCTACCTGCAAACAAAAGTTTTTGTTTTCGGGGATTATTTCCGAGATGACACTCACTCCCTCCTAGCTCCTCAGCACCATTTTCCACTCCTGTGCCACTCTTCCTCTTGGGGACATCAGGAAGTGTTTGACTCCAGTCTACCTAGTATGTTTGTGTAGGTGTGATGCTGTCACAGCCCCTGGGCTGGACTTTGGTTTTTCCTTTTCAGCCTTGTTACTGTTAGTGACTCGGGGTGGGAGGGACTGGAAGACGCCCTTCCTGCTGTGTGTGTGCGAACGCACCAGAGGCATGCTGTCCACCTTGCTGCCCCCGGAACGACTCACCCTTTGCTCCAGCACATACAGACTTCGTGAGACAACCATCCAGTCCAGCAGCCCCCCTGGGCACAGCCATCCCCTGGCACTATCCACAGACTCTTTAGAAGCTGCAGATTTTCTTCCACCTGTTGCTAGAACCAGCCTTTCCAGTCTTGTGAGGAGCGCCTCTGTGGTGAGACAGCGTGCTGACGCAAGCTCCTCGATGAAGCCAGCCTCCTACGATAGAAAGAACATCCAACATGGAAGCAGTTATCAGGTCTTACGGGGCCGCTCTGTTTCCCTTGTCCCCCAGATGCGTCTCCCAGCTACGTGCCTCCTCATTTTTACCTTCTGGCTGTTTGCCTGAAATTCATGTAACACACAACCACGGAAGTGTCTTTGAGTTTGAGAGGCCTGGTCCGCCCTGGGAACCCTTGATTAGGGGAAGAGATGGGGTAGGCAGTGGGTCAGCCCCCAGAAGAGCAACTTCCTCTGCATTCTTTCATGGGCTATAGATGTCAGAACCCAGAAGGGGCCCCAGCACACCCAGGGCCACAGTCCTGCTGGTCAGTAGAAAAGGGACCAGTTTATGGAATGAGCCTAAGAAACAAAACAGCCGGTCACCCTGCCCCTGGATGGAGCAGCAGCAGGACGGACACCCCCCACCCCCACCCCACGGCCGCGCGCAGTAAGCCCCAGGCAGTGAGGAAAGCTTCAGAAAAGAACACATGGGGGTTTCCGGACCGTTGGTTCCCGAGCCCCATGCAACCCGCTTGTTTCTGAGCCAGCCACAGTCTCAGGCTTTCCCTCACCCAGCCAACACATTTCCAAATTATTCATAATTCTCCAGGAAACATATTCAGCATCTCAGCTGGCTTGTATTCTTTCAGAATGTGTGGCAGAGTTTTAAAAGAAAATCTCTTGGCTGTGGGGCCCTGTGCTCGGCCTGAGGGACAGCAGGCTTGAGGCCAAACTTGGGGGGAAGACAGTAAACCTCAGGACCTACTGAAGTGTCACCGTGATGTGCCCTGTTGGTGCATGGCTTTGTACCTGGATTCAGGTAAAGGCTAATGTTGTAAAGGTCTGAGCAGCCCAAGATGGTTATTTCTGAAAGAATAAACGGTGTGGGTGACCATGACCAACTGTTAGGCCAGCTTACAAAAGCAGCGATCTGTACAGTTCTCTGGTGCAGTCCCACTTCATGGGCATTGTGTGAAGACCACAGGGAAGCTGTCAGCTGGAATGAGGAGAACACCTGAACTCTTGAAGTTCAGCCCCCAAGCACTGCCCGTATCACTGGGGCCTGTGGAGGTCCAGGGCCCAGGCAGCATCTAGCACAGTCTGCTTCTCTGCCAGACTCCGTGGCCCAAGACTCTGAAGGGCCATTCACGTTGGCTTGCATTCTTTTCCCTTGGACGGTGGGGGCTACTCGGCAGCAGAACTTGGCTCTGAGGCTGCAGGCCAATGGGCTGGCTGCCCCTCTATTGGCATCTTGTCTAAAGAGGCTAGATGCTTGGTTTCGATGGAAGTATCTGGAGTGTGCAGCCAGGTATAGCCCTCGGAGGTTAATGAGTGGTTCACTAAAGGCAGGAACTAATTTAAAAGGCAGTGGTTGCTCTTCACATCTGCTTCTCTTTGATCCCCACGACCTGGTGCCAGTGAATACAGAGTCTCCTTCTGTCTTGTCTTATGAGATGTGTCAGGCTTTCTTATGAGGAATGTTGGCCAAAAATCAGAGCTTTTAGGGCACTTCGGAAACCTGACCTGAGATGGTTGGTTGAAAGGTGATGAAAGAGCACAGTTGAGTGTGGAGCACCTCTCTGAGCTGCAGTCCTCAGCAGAGCGAGCTGATGAGCTGGCATACTTGCTGGAACGAGGGTGTAGACCCAAGAGAGCCACGCGTTGGTGCTCAGAGAGGGGAGAGGTCGGTGGAGGCCGAGGTCCATAAGGCGTTTAAAGAAGAGCAGGGATTGAGTGCATCCGGAAAGATGCTTGCAGGAGGAGGAAGGCAGGAGGGTGTGGAAGGAAAGAGAGGGCACCTCGGGAAGGAAGCTACTGCCATTTCCAGTGGCTTTGCATCGTTGGTTGTTGGTGCCTTTGATATTCACCTCCTGCTGGTCCCTGAGAGCAAGTTTGTTGCCAGGAACACAGTCTAGTCCTCAGAAAGTATCCCCTGAAGGCCAACAGCATCCTCAGTGGCCACTGGAAGCCCCCTGCCCCTGCCTGCCTTGAGGTAGCTCACAGTTCTCTGGGCAGAGCCACACCATCCAGCGTGCCCCGGAACCCGGTAGGTTCCCACCTTCCTTCCTCTGTGGCTTCCTGTCGGGAACGATGGCCGGGGATGGATGGAGAAGTGGCGAAAGGAAGTAACACTCCAGTCCCCACCTGAGTGCCCTTAGCAGGAGAAATCTGGGCTTTTGCAGGGATTCATTTTCTCAGGACTGAAGAGGGAGAGAAAGTGAGAGTCTGATATTTTTAAATGCCTCAGAAAGGCAACACCAACTGACAGTCACTTTCTCACTTTGGTCTTACGAAGTCACCGATTTCTTGTGTGTGCATATCACACCATTTCCTGTCTCTTTAAGCCCAGCAAGGGCAGGAGTGCCTGTTCCCCCGCGGAGCACACTAGTCATCCTCAGGAAGGAGACGCTGACCTGGGGACCCAAAGGACGATGGTCATTAAGAGAGGAGCAGCGAGGCCAAGACAGTTAGTTCCAGTGAAGGAAAAGGGCACTCTGGTTCTTACTGACCACACGCTAAGGTGACAAGTGGGAAACTATTTTTTGAAACCTTTTCCTTGAGTTGCTTGGGTTACATCTTATGGAATATACCAGACTGTAAACATGTCTGTCATTTCCCATTTGGTCCAATGAGACAAAATCTAGGGAATGCTGTATATTTCTGCTGCAGAAGATACAGAAACTTGAGAAAGGTTACCTGAGTTATAGTGAGTGAAGGCATCTAGAAATGGTGTCAACCACAATCCTGTTCATTTTCTAATGTCAGGGACTCTCTCGGAGGGTTAAAATCATGTATGACTAGGGCCCCTGTGCCTCTGATCTGCGTGATAGATCAGAGTGTCAGTTGATAATTGTGTAGGTCAAACTCAGTCATTAAACAGCCTTACCGTGACCCTACACTAAGGCCCACAAGTTCCAAAGACCTTTTTTTAAACCTCAAAGAAGAAATTAGTTAATTCCAATAGAACAACAGTATACTGGGCTATTTGTACTTTTTTATAGAGAATTTTAATAACTCAATTCTGTTTTTAAAATAAATCTGACAATTTGATAAGATTCCAATCTCATGGAGCCTGTAGGAGGACTCAGCTGGGGTCACCTTGAGTGCCCCTGACCTGCACTCCCACTGTAGAATTTCCCCATGCCAGTGGTATATGGAGTCCACATCAGAATGGCTGGAAATTCAGGTGGAACGTGTTGGCAGACTGATGCCCTCCATATTTTTGATGCACACTGGGGACAGCCGTCTAGGGTCTGGAAGATTTTGGACCATAGGAAAGATAGCTTTATTTTCCCCTTCCAGATGCAGCCCTAGGATAGCATTCCCCTGGGGTCCCTGGGATGCCTCTCCTTGCTCTGTGAGGCTCTGTGACCACCTTTTGGCTTGGGAGGCATGGCACTTCCTCGGCTCTGTCTCCAGTCCCCAGAGGTCCCCCAAGGCTCACACTCAGTGAAAATTCAGAGATGCCCTGTTAGGATTTTGTCCACTGGGCAATTCAGATATGCTTCAATATCCCCGAGAAAGAAGAGGCGGCAGCAAACACTCCCAAGGGCATCTGTCTCCAAATTCTCTCTTATGTGAGTAGACAGAACCCTACTTTTCAGAAACTATCAAGTCTACTTTATAAGAACCTTTTTTTTTTTCTAAAATAAGACAAAAGGTGGCTTTGCATTTTCTGATTAAATAACTGTGTCTGTCTCCTCTGCTTAACTTTAGGAGTATTTATTCCTGTGATTGTTCATAGATTTTTGTTGATATTCTTCCTGGAAGAATGGGATTCTTAAGGGGATCAGTGGACTATTCAAAATCATCCATGAAGGAAGTTATTCTTTTGAGTCTAAAGGGTCTAAAAATTCGCCTCCTATCCCTTCTGTCAGGGTCTTTCAGAATATCTTTTCTAGATGGTCAGAGACATTTGAAATCATTGCTTTTGCCCCATGAGAGAGAAAGAGAGAGCGCGCGCGCGCGCGCGAGAGAGAGAGAGAGAGAGAGAGAGAGAGTGTGTGTGTGTGTGTGTGTGTGTGTGTGTGTGTGTGTGAAGGACACGTCATATTTAAATCATTCATTGGAAAACATCATATAAGATGCCAGATCTGTACGGAGGAGGAAGATGAAGAGATGGAGGTTGAGGTTTTTCCTTCTGTATAATCACCTTCTGACAAAATGTAGAGGCCATTCAACTGTCCAGTAACATTTGGTTTAAAGCAGGCAAGATGGATGTGTACATTACTGCGCTGCTTTCCTCAATTTGTATAACCTCTGATCTTTGTTTGCATGATATGCTTTGTTAGATACATTAATTGTAGTTTGGAAGCAAGTGTGTACGAATAAACATAATGATCATCCCTTGGTGTGCTCGGTCTCATTTGCTTGGTCTCTTTGTGGCATCGCAATTATTCAGCAACCGTGCAACCAGCATTCCGCTCGGGACCTTCTCCTGTCCACGTGTGCCTCTCGGGAGCTTCAGTTCTTCACTCCCAAACGAGAGTGAAGGGGACACAGCAACTGATGAGGATGCTGTCCATCCTGTTGGCCATGCTGTGCACCCGGCCCCAGGGCTGCCACCGCTCCTGGCATCAACAGCCTTCAGCCTGGATTTATTTTATTCATAGGTGAAAAATTGGGGGTAGTTTTTAAATGTGAAACAGGGAACATTCCAAAACATCCAGAGTCTTAACACTCAACACTCTTAGCCTCAAAAAAGAGTAAAAGCTCTGACGCCTGGGTGGCTCAGTTGGTTAAGCATCACACTCTTGATTTTGGCTCAGGTCATGGTCTCCCAGTGGTGAGATCGAGCCCCGCATCAGGCTCTACACTCAGCAGGGAGTCTGCTTGAGATTCTCTCCCCCTCCCTTGGCCCCTCCCCCTGCTCGCTCGCTCTCTCTCTCCCCCCTTCCCCCTTTAAAATAAATAAATATCCACAATAGCCAAAATATGGAAAGAACCCAGATGACCATCAACAGAAAAATGGACAAAGAAGAGGTGGTGTGTACACACACACACACACACACACACACACACACACACACACTGGATTATTACTCAACCATCAAAAAGAATGAAACCTTGCCAATTGCAACAACGTGGATGAAACCAGAGGGTATTATGCTGAGCGAAATAAGTCAGAGAGAGACAAATATGCAATTTCATTCATATGTGGAATTCAAGAAACAAAACAGATGAACATAGGGAGAGGGAAGGAGAAATAAGACGAAATCAGAGAGGCAAACCATAAGAGACTCTTTTTTTTTTTTAAAGATTTTATTTATTTATTTGACAGAGACAGTGAGAGAAGGAACACAAGCAGGAGGAGTGGGAGAGGGAGAAGCGAAGCAGGCTTCCTGCTGAGCAGGGAGCCCGATGCGGGGCTCGATCCCAAGACCCTGGGACCATGACCTGAGCCGAAGGCAGACGCTTAACGACTGAGCCACCCAGGCGCCCCAAACCATAAGAGACTCTTAATCATAGAAACAAACAGGGTTGCTGGAGGGGAGGTGGGGAGGTGGGTGCAGGGATGGGGTAACTGGGGGATGGGCATTAAGGAGGGCACGTGATGTAATGAGCACTGGGTGTTATATGCGACTGATGAATCACCGAATTCTACCTCTGACACTAATACACTATATGTTAATTAATTGATTTTAAAAAACAAAAAAAGATGTTAGTTGAAAAATTAAATAGATCTTTAAAAAAGAGAGAGAGAGAGAAAGCCAGTAACAACAATAATCCTACATCTAAATGCTGAGGGTCAGCCTTGGCAAAGTTCGCCTTTGCTTGCTTCCTCGCCTTCTTTTGGGGGGCTGCTGTCCCCGCAGGCTCAGGGCTTTGTCCCACAGCCTCCTCCCTAACCCCTCCCAGCGTATCCACACTTGCCTGTCCTGCGTTCTCTTTCCTCAAGGCCTTGCTCCCAGCCCACTGAGTGGGGTCCCGAGCACTTGTGTCCACTGGGTTAAGGTCCCGTCCCCAGCCTGCCCTGCTCTCACCGGAACCTCCAGAAGTTAAGGGGCTTTCGGCTGCCAGTGGGAGCACTGGTGGGACAATTACTAAGGAAGAACGAGGGGTCCTCAGAGCAGTGAGTGTGCGGTGGCTGGCCCCTGGGCTGGCCTTGAACTTCCCTCTGGGCTGGTCACTTTTACACATTTCTGCGGCCCCTGCCTCGGGCTCATACTGCCTAGCAGAACAGCAGTAGGCAGAAGAGCAGCCCTCAGACCCCCATCTCCCCAACCCTGACCCCCGGGGCTGGTTCAGCTTCCCCACGTCTGGTTCCGAGCTGCGTTTTCTTGCCTTGCCTTGACCGCGACGCGGAATGGTGCCCGCTGGGTCGTCCTGCACCGAGCAGCGTCCTCAGCATCAGCCGGGGACCCGCAGGGCACGAGCAGCCCACCGTGACGTACCCGTGCGGGGCGACCCCAGAGGCCCCGCAGGATCGAGGAGGAGGCCGAGGGGACGGCCTGAGCGAGCACCGACCTGGCAGGACTGGATAACCCGCCCCGGAGGGTTGCTGCTCCCCTGACTCTCCCCAACCTCTCCCCAACCCCCCCACCCCCACCCCCACCCCCACCCCCGCGCACCTGACCCTTGTGATACAGGTGAGCCTCCGGCTGGGCTCGTGCCCAGATTCTGGCCGCCCCTGCGAGTCAGGCCCCATTTGCGTCTGCCTGCCGGGCACCCGGGCCTCTCCCCCGCCCTGCACCCCTGCCCCCCGCACCCCCTCCCCAGTGCATCCGGCTCTGGAGAGGCAACCTAGGGGGCCGTTAGGGGCAAGGTCTGCAGCCACGCTGCCTGGCGTCCCCCGGCGAGCAGGGCGAATTACCTGGGCTTCCCCGTGCCTCTGTTTCCCCACCTGCATAAGGAAATGAGAAGAGCGCCTACCCCAGGGGGCCCCGGAGAGGAGTGAGTCCGAGTGAAGCGTTAGAGCGCCCCACGAAGGAAGTGTGCGCGCTCGGAGGAAGGCCACAGCCCTGGGTTCTGCTGAGACCCAGCCCGGGGTGGTCAAAAGGCAGGAGAAGGGCCTTGGGGCTGTTCTCTCTTTTAGTTCTTTTTGAGAAAGGGGCCGTGTGTCAGCGGATGAGGGGATTCCGCTGGGAAGAGCCAGCTTCGGAGTCCGGGCACAGGGCTGCCTGCGGGCGTGTGGGTCCCCCCAGCAGGCCTCGCGGGGCTGCTCTGTAAATAGGAACCGAGTATTCAGGGAGAGGAGCAGCTGAGCCGCGGAGGAGGACCGGGGGTGGAGGGAGACGGGGTCTGCCAGGGCTCAGCTGTGGCCTCCACGGGTACAACTGTGTCCCCTGGCTGCGGCCCAGCCACCTGCCCCCCAACCCCGAGCCGCTCTGCTGGGCGGGAAGCCAAGGCCCCTGGAGTACGAGCTCGGGGGGACAGCGCGAGGCGGGCGCCCCGGTGGCCCTGGAGCTCCGCGCCTGGCCCCAAGCTGCTGCGCCCCGAGCGGCTGTTGAAGGAGTGAGAGTCCGTGTCTGACACGTGGAGGAATTCAAGCCTGTGTCCCTCCGGCTGGCAGAGACTCCTCTCTATCTGTCCCGGCCCTGAAATCCGGTGTGGGGGTGGGAGGGCGCTCTCAGTGTTGTGCTAAGTGGGAGCTCCCTGAGGGGCAGCCCGTGGCTAGGACGATGTAGGGCACGCGGGGTCAGGCCTGGAATAGGCACCTCAGCCCTAGAATCCCAGCTTCAGCAAGACCTGCCAGGTCCATCCTTCTGCACCTACGCCTCCCCCACGCACCACACACACCCACCCTCTTGGGTCCAAGGCCCTACCCCGGGCTCACCCTGACTCCAGCAGGAGCCTCCTGTCCACTGCCTCGCTCAGCCTCTCCTGTCTGCCCCCTCCCTGTAGGCAGAGTGAAGCCCTGTGCTGCCACATCTTTTCTTCAAACACTCCAAGGACATCCCATTGCCCTTGAGAAAGACCAAGCCCCCTAACATGGCTGTGAAGCCCTGGGCAAACTCCCCACCCCTGACATCATCTTCCCCCATGTGGCCCCACATTCTCTTGACTCTCTGGCCTTCCTTCAATTCCTCAAATGTGCTGTGATGTTTCCAACCACAGGGCCTTTGCTCCTGCTCTGTCCGCTGCCTGAAACATCCTTCTCCAAGCCTAGTTAATGCCACCTTACCATGAATTATTCATTCTTGCAGAAGCCTTCTCTTTCTTCCCAGGCTGGCACATCCTCCTCCCAACCCCTCATATACTTGCTTAGTCTCTACATCCCTTCTTTGTTGTACTTACCATGCTGCCATTTTACACTTCCTTGTGGGAATACTTGATTGCCAGCCTTACCAGTTTCCTTTTGGAAATCGGGTGTCATACTGGGTTATGCTCGCTTTTGCCCTTCCAGGGAGTAATATAGTGTGTAGCCCAGAGTGAGAGGTCAAAACCAGTCCTCTACAGCCCTCACCATCCCATGTCTATACCTGCCCACTTATCTCCAACCCATCAGCAAGTCTTGTCGGGTCTACTGGATAGCCATGGTTCTCCAGGGCGAGGGGGCCGTTTTGCAATATCCAAAGACATTTCTGGTTGTCACAACTGGAGGGAGGTGCTACTGGCCTTAGAAGGTAAAGGTCAAAGGCCAGGAATGCTGCAATGCATGAGACAGCACCCCCCCAACAGAGAAAGATCCGCCCAAGATGTCAGCGGCGCTGCTGCTGAAAGCCCTGTTCCAAAATGTGCTCAATCCTCTCCCTTTGCTCCACGTGCACCACCCTCTCTGCCCGTCTCCTTGAGTTCACCCTCGACCCCCCATGACCCTCTCTGCATAGCCGTCGGTGTGACCTGGTCCCAACAAATACCTTCCCTGGTTCAAGCCCTCCAGTGGCTTCCCATCACCCTTAACATAAAACCCAAACCTTCCCACGACCTAGCGGCCTCACACAATCTGGCTCGAGGCACACCGGCTGGATGCTTAGGAGGTGAGCTCGGAAAAGTCCCAGCCTGTTTATCAGTCTGTGGGTGTACCCTGTCCCCTCAGAATGTAAGCTCCGGGAGAGGAGTAAGCTTGTCCATCATGTTCACTGCCGGATCCCAGCACGAGAGCGGTGCTTGGTACGGAGTAGGGGCTCAGAATAGTGTGCGTTGAAGGAGTGAATGAATGAATGAATGGACCCCAAGACTGCTCCGAGTCTAGCAAACCATTGCTGTGTTTGGCCCATGGTATTCACAAACTAACTAAGGAGACGAGATGCACACACACACACACACACACACACACACACGAATTAAAGATCCAGCTTTCAAAAACTTTTCACGAGCTCACACCAAGGAAACCCACATTCTGAGTCTGTCCATCGGCCTGGCAGCTGGAGGCAAATGCTGCCTCCAGATGCACTGGAGTGAGTGTTTCAA